CACCAGACATGGCCCTTGGGGCCTCCAAAACCCATGGCTGTAGTTTATTCTCTGGACTAATTAGCAACCCTGAGGAAATTATTACTGGCTGCACTTGTGAAGTAGCTCTTCTGCAAGTTCCTACCTTGCTGCTGACCAGATGTCAGTAATTAAGCTGATTCTTTTGCTGATTTAGCCTCTGGTCAAAAGTATGAATAGTGAGTATTAGAGGTAATACAATATGCTAAAGGAATAACATAAAGATATACAGCAAGGAGCATGCATTTGATCCTAGTTCTGCCAGTGACTCATATGGTTTTTATCCAAGTTTCTCCATCTCTGACTCTGGCGTGGCAACATTTCTCTGCCTCCTAGTTCTACTGTGAATAGAAGTGAACAGATGCAGACATTTTCTTCCCATGGAAAATGTAGATTTTCTTTAAAGAGCAGTTTTCCAAAGGACACCCAACAAACCAAAATGAAACATTAACGAAGACTTGGAAAATTGCTTTTTAAGAGAATCAAAGCAGGATTTTCTTTCATCTGTCCCCAACTACTTCTTCAGTCATGCACCATCCAGAGAGAGACAGAAACCTGCAGCTAGTATTGCTCCACGTCTGCTGAACACCTGTGCTTGCTCCGGCAGGCTCACGCGTCCTGACATTCCCTCCGCAGCAGCTTTTACAGGGAGCGACCACTGGGCACAAGGAAGCAACAGGGCACTCTATAGAGAGCCCAGGAGGGAGGCAGCAGAGGCCACACCTGCTGTAACAATACAATGCTTAAATCATGGTTTTACAGCAAAATGAGTTATGGCTGAATATATTTAGGATGCTTTAACAATGAGGGGTTATTCACTCCTTGCTGTAATCCCTAAGTAATGCCATGAGATGCCACCTTAAATGCCAGACAGATCTCTTGACCCCAGCACATAAAGACAAGGGCCAAGATTCGCTTGGATTTGCTCCCACGGGTCTGTTGTCTCACTCATCCCTTCCTGTTCTTGGAGCAGCTCCACCCAAGCACCACTCCCACATCTGCGAAAAGCCAGATCTTCCTCACAGTTAGTTGCTGGAACCAGGACTTAATTTACACAGCCAAGTACTTGAACACAGCACACTCTTCAAATAGCAGAAAACAGAACAGAATTCAGTGCATATTGATAAAGTCGGAAAAGATGAAATAACTTAAAATCTAATATTCTTTGCAGTATATGTAAATTTAAGGGTATATATATAGTATATGATCTCCACTTAACTATCTCAGGTGAATGAATAGGACATAAAGCTGGTATTGATTTCAGCGGAAATAAATATCAAGACTCATTGACCCAAGAGGTAAATATTGACCAAAGCTAAAATGGGTTCAATACTTATCTTATGGAACAATAAATCACAAAAAAAAAAAACGAAAACAAAACCAAAATCAATATATGTACTGTAACAATCTTTCTAATGGCATGGCTAAAATTTAATCTTCAGTGGATGTCACTCAAACTGCAAACAGAAGCCATAGTAAAGTTTAAATACTTAACTGTAGTATTCTAAAAATAGGAAATGATTGTGTAAAATCAATACTGTGAAGATGGTTTATGGTTCTTTTTTCTAAAGTCATCCATTGCAATTGCACTAACTTTCTCCAAATTATTAAAATTAACATTCTAAGGCAGCAGAAAATGTATAATGTTATGCTACGCTCAGTTTGCCAACAGCCTGAGCAGATGTGTTTTTTTCCATGGCCAAACTGACTGGCCATCATTAAGGTTATGCAGAATCTTTTCCATTCCAAAAGCTAGTGGTAACAACAGAATTTTACAGGTTATTGCAGAATGAATTAAAACTGTCCGGTCAGATTTGTAGCATAAAACTGCACATGTTTTTTGGAGGCTGCAGTTTTCTGAGATTTGCCCAACTATTAGTAAAGGTGAAGAATTAAGAAATGAAGGACGTGTCCCAGAGGCTATGCCTCTGAACAGATTCTCACATTTTAAGAAAGGGAGGAGGAAAGAAGGAACAACAAACCAAGCACACCTTCTTCTGCCTAGCTGGGAAACAAAACAAGCGTACCATTTATAGATGTGCTGGCCAATACAATCTGATATCTTTCCTATCAGCTGTTATCCAACTTCATTTGAACTGCTTGCTTCACGATGGACTTACTACAGACACTGAGGATACTGACCATGCTTTAATGGATCTACCCCAGCAGCAGCTGCATGCCCGAGGGCGCAATCCCAGCTCTCCACAAAACTTGATTATCCCATCATCTGCTACTAACACAGTACCCTCTCTCTATCTCCATCCTAGCAGCAGACTAAGAGACATGTTAAACCCTACAGCAAAACCGGCTCGTTCAGGGCTACTGCAAAAGGAAAACTCAAAGAGCTCAGAGCAGGCACAGATATCATCAGTCCATGGGCTTTTCCCTCCATATGGGTTTAATTGCTAAGGAATGGTGATAGCACAGCTACTTTTTGTCCAAGCAAAGCTGCTTTTTACTGACAAAGCTATTTTTCAGTGAAAAATTAGGGGCTTGAATAATTTATGTTTTACTGCAGAACACATCTGTATGGATTTTTCATAGGAAACCCATAAACTACAGTCTCTTTGCCATGAAAGTAAGAATAAAGTGTATGCTTCTCCTTTTTATCCAACTATTTTCCAGTTACCAAAACTCAAAATGTTTTGGTTGGTCTGTATCAAGTGAAAAATTTCCACTGAATAAAACTATTCTTCTGGTGTTCCTCTCTGACAGCAATGAACTCAACACAGTGCTGCAGCCCAGGTGTGGAGGATCTCTCTGGAAGATCAGTGTGCAGAGCTGTCACATTTGGGTTTCAAACAGGAGCAGAACCAGTCCCAAAATTAATAGTGGGCCAGCACATAAAAGTGAGGAATGTTTTGTGGTGAATTTTTTTCCATATATGACTTCAGCTAGACTCCTGGCTCTCAGCCATTCTAAACAAAAAATCCTTTCAAAATTAGAGTGAACTTTGAAAGATACATGAGAAAGACAGACTGCACAAAAATAAAAGCACCGGATAAAGCTGCTAAATAATACCAAGTAAGAAGGAATGACTCTTTTTACAGGTTTTTCACAACACTCATGATCTATGTTTCTCACTCCATTATCTATATCTTTTTAATAGAGGCTTCAAAGAACATATTTTTAAATAATTTATAACACTCCTATTAGGAAAATATTATGACAAAGCATAGCTCAAAATACCCTTTTGCAAAATAAGGAGTACTATCCCATCCAGAACAGTAAACTCCATCATCTACTGGCAAAGAAAAGTAAATTTGAGCATAACTTGTTAAGTGCTAAGAAAAGATCTTTGGTTTGGTATGCAGACATGTTCTTGTACTTTTTGCTTTTAAAACATAACTTTAAAGATAGGTACTTATGTAACACAGGGAATAGTTAAAGTCAGACTTATGTTGTTATGAAATGGAATTAGCAGAGTCTTACTCTTTACCTTAAATTGGCAAGCATTTGACTTTTTTTTCATACGCCAACATTTGCTGGAAGCTGCAAGATGTTCCTGGAAAATACCTAAAACCTTTTTATTATCTTTTTCATTACTGGAAAAATGCTACAGGAAATACTGGTGATAGCCTGTAAAATATAAATACCCACACTTAAGTTGATTTCTGCAGAGGCAGTGTTTGGGGGGTAAAAATCTGTATTGGAGAACTTAAACCTGAGCTCATTATTGTAGCAAAATCTAGTACAGATTTGTTTTGTTTTGTTTTGTTTTTTTTTTTTTTCCCCCTTGGTCATAACTGAATATGGCATATCCGTTTCCTTGGCCATTTGAAACAAAAGTATTTCACAGAGATGGTGCACATGTTCCCCAGAGATGCCATCTTTTTCTCTAAGGCCCGTGTGACATTAGAAAAGCCTGCAGACATGCTGTGTCTTGTCACTGGATGGAAAGATGAAGAGATGGAAAGTACCCAAAGCAAGGAGAGGCTGGAAAGGTGCCTATGGAACCAGATTAAAATGAAAGAGTGAGGTGAAAGCAATTTAATATTTCTTGGTACAGCCTGTCAAGAAAACAGCATGTACTTCATTTTAAAGTTTCTTAAAGAAACTTGAAATCAGTGGTGGAATTCTGAGCAGCCTCAAGAATGCTAAGTAATTATGTTTTTCACCTATGAAACAACTCTGATTTGTTAAAGCACAAAGCAAAACTGAGCACTCTGGTAACCCCAGGAATGTATTGCAGGCCTGAATGATGCAAGCGGCACTGCATTTAGCATGAGAAATAACCAGCTACATGATTTTTCTATAGACAGAATGGTGGTCTGTGTATTGTTTGAAAGTCTTGCAGTTCCGAAATTGACTTCCAACAGAAGACCAAATTGAGATCACAGTTTCAGTTCATACCTCTTAGGTATCTAAGAACACTTAAACATGGTCAGCATATATATATATATATATATATAGGTGGTGCCCAAAGCTCCCCTATCAAGCACAGTATAACTCCACACAACAAAACTACAGTCCCTTGTGCAAGACATCAAGCTTCTTCAGTAGCCTGCTTTGACTGTGGAACAAATTTCAACAGGAACTATTGTGTTCTTTAACAAGCTTACAGAACAATCCAAACATTACTGGAGTAAAAAGCATACCTTCATGCATACAACATTTCTTTAAGAGATAAAGTGAGAAAGAAATAAATGTAGCAGGTATTTGGTTTGTTATGAAATGCTCTACTGAAAATCACTCAGTTATATTGATGAAGTTGGTAGGAGAAGTCATCAGGCACCAAACTGATCTGATTTGGTTGTCAAGACTATGATGAATCACTCTGCTGCATTTTTTTACAAAATGATTTATCTAATAGAAGAATCATCTAGTTGTGGAAAACTAGCTGCACAACTGAGAAGGGCTTGAATTTGTCTTCTATCCTCACTGACATTGAAGGGTTTATAAGCTTTACCTCCGAGGAAGGATGCTGAATAAATAGCTAACATTTAGTAACTAATGAATTAACTAAGTCTCATTATTCTTACTGTGATAAGGGCCCTCGTGCCTGGGATCATCCATCAGTCTCCTGTTTTCAAGGACTGTGACTGTATATCCATGTTTTGCCAGGATGTGCTGACAGAGCTGGCGGTCTGTTTCACGGTGGGCAGGAGGCACGTACAGAACTGCTCTTCTCGTACGGCTTCCAAAGTTCTGGAGAATGGAGTCATCGATCTACAGCAAACACAATGCAAAGACAATGGTTATAAGATAGGACAGCAGTATAATATATAGTTATTTTTCACAAAAAGAAACTAGTAAGTCACTGTGACTATCTGGGAAATATTTCTGGTATAATTAAGAATTGTCTTTATATCATGGACTTCTAACCACAAATTCCATTTTGTCTGCCTTTCCATTTTTTTCTACCCTCATTATGGACTGATATTGCAAGGGTTTGAAAGCTCAGAGTAGCAATGGAGGATCTTCAAACTGTGGTCTTCTCTTCATGGAAACACCTTTGGCTGAAATCTGGGCTGCTCAATTGAGCTGGTTACAGTAACTGCCGGATGACTTTGACCATGGCCTCAGGCTGATGTGTGGGTCACCTAGCAGGGAGGACTTGATGAGTCCCATGTCAACTGTTCCAAGGAATGTGGGTCCTACACAGAAGATAAGTGCAGGGGTCTGAGTTCTGCTGTGCAGTGTGATTAAGAAAAGTAAGAAGAGTATTGAGGTAAAAGCATTCAGAGGAATCCTAAAAAGTACCGTCGATTGCTATGCCTCTACAAAATTAAATGTTACCTTGTCAGTACCTTATTGCCTTATTAGTCCAACACGATCCAGCCCACAGAAGGTCTGGCAGAGAGACTTGCATATAGGGGCAAGTAGAAAGGTGCATGATGTCTCCAATGAATCCCAAGAAACTCTGGGGTTGTCTACCATTCACAATCTTCCCACGTAGTGCCTAAGGACAATCGCATCTAGAGAAAACCCTTCCTCTGTATAATAGCCTGGAATATGAGCATCTTGCAAGGAATAATGGAAGAGAGCCTCCCCAAATGCACAGAGATAGTGTGATCTGCACATTAAGTTCTGAAAAGAGTGAATTACAGGGCCACTGTCATCAGCTCTTTGGGAAAGGGGGGATATCTTATATCTTACATAGGGCATAAAAATAGGATGCTCCAACTGGCAAACAGGTCACTAATATCTGAAATAGTCTAGCTGTTCCTTTGCAATAAAAACACCATTAACAGATAAGATTTTCTTCTGGTGAAAAATATTTGTCTTTAGGATTGAAACATACCAGCACTTAAGGGATTCAGCTCAGGACATGAAATAAGTTCTTGTCAAGTTCATGAATTTCAACCTAGCAACAGTCAGCAGTATGCCCTTTAAAAACTAAGTTATTCAATAACTTCTAATTTTAGGAAGCTTATCTCTGGAGATAGGAAGTGCTACACAAACAAGGCACCACCATTTTTTGCACAGTGGACCACACTGAAAAGAGACAGATGCTTTGATGTAAACAAATGTCATTCAAGATGTGTCCAGTTGTTTATAGGCCTGGGATCTAGCGATAAAGTCACTCTTCTCTGCAGTCAGTTCCCCAATTACAGGATGCAGTTTTACATTATGCTTGGCTGAAATGTAAGCTTCTCTGTGGCAGTGAGGGGCACAAACAATTTCAGAGCCCTGAGCCTCTAACACCATGTCTGCTTTTGTTCCAGAGCAGACATGCCACATGGAAAAGGTTAGCATTGTTAATGAGGGGATCCTGAAAAATATCTCGATACAATGCTGTCAGAGTCTTCCAAGTCCATTTGCTAAATGTGCAACCCAAAACTACGTTATACACCAGGATATTCAAGTTAAGGTTATCACATGCTGGCCGGAAGAAGAACAAATAGCACAGGGTGAAGTCACAGGAACGGTGTTAGGTAACCTGTCAGAAGTCCTCCCTGGCATCCCAGCATTTTTAAAACACATTAATCGGGTGGCAAGGAGAGCGTTAGAGCATCTCAGATTGCCCTTCCCCACCACAGCACCTATTATTCTTTCCCATTATGACTTTCCCCCTCCCTCCTCTCCTCTTATCTTCTCTCTTTCCTGCTCTCCTGCAGCGCCAGCAGCTGCTGGCAGCCCTTCCTCTCCATTTCCCTCCCTCCCTCCCTGTTCCTAAATCCAGCCCTTGCCCTGGCCTCCCGCCTGTGCTCCCTCTCCCTCCTCCTGTGGGCAGTCCAGCCAGACACTTCTCACTTTCCATTTCACTTGAATCGCGGAAGAAAATCAGGAGAGAGACATCTCTCACTTTATTTTGCAAGCAAAGCCCATTTTCCATCCCACATGTGCTGCAGTGGCCAGTACTGTGGGGTGAACTGAGGACATGTGAGGAGTACGGAGGGGCTGCAGCCCAGGACACATCCCTGTTCAGCTTTAGCTGCCGATTATGGCTTGTCCCACTCCCCGTCCCTCTCAGTGCGGCTGAGGGTGTTTGCTGCATGGTGTCAGGGTGCTGCCTTGGACTTGGCAGCTCTTTGTGTGCTCGCTAATGGTTATCGCGCTTTTTTCATGCAAACAGAAGACACCTTTCTCCAAAAAAAGCAAAGCCTCCTGCAGTGTCACTCCTTAAGCATTTTGCTTCAAACAGACTTTAAGAGCTTCTACCTCAAGCACCCAGCAAAGACTTTATTTTCCCCTGTGAGCAGCACTTCAAGGACAGCTCTCACAAGGCTCACCCCAGCCCGGCTGCTGCCTCGCAGCTCACGCCTGGTGCAACAGACCTTGGTGGCTGCGAGTGCTGGCTGGACGTGGGGGCCAAGCTGTGCCCTCCGCCATTCCCTTTGCCTGGCCAGCGAGGCACAGGGAGACAGCAACCAACTGGCTCCGAGATGTCCCGAGGGCCCGGGGGCCGGAGGCCTTGGTCCATGGCAGCCTGCCTGCAGCAGGATCTATCAGGGAAGGGAGCTCTCCCTCCCGCCTGCAGACAACCTCTTCCCCACTTCCCTGGGGATTAGCAGAAATGTTTATAACGCTCTGGTTTGGCAATGGCAAATATTCAAGAGAACGCTGATAATAGCATTAAAAAAAAAAAAAAAAAAAAAAAAAGGAAGTTTAAGCACTGGTGTTAACCTAGGTCACTTCCACAAAACACAAAGGCAAACGGCTTCAAGCAGCTCCACGGGGCCCACGCAGCAGCCAGCTCCCATCAGGCGCCGTTGATGGGTGCTCAGAGGGTCATGATGGCCCTCGCACGCAGAACACACCACCAGCTGCTCCAGAGGGCTTTCCTTGGGGCACCCAGTCCAGAGACACGTAAAAATGTGTCCAAAACCTCCTGCTGCAGGGATGGGAGGGACTGAGCAGGCCTGGCTGGGGACATGCTCATCTGCACACCCAGCCTCCCCTCCCGCTGCCCAGGCGCTTGGCACGAGGTGCTTTCATCCACTAGCTTCCCAAAAAGCCATGACGAAATCTCTGGGACTCTGAGACAATTCAGGGTCCTAAATTTAACAGCTTGACCTGATCTCTAATCTGGTACTATTAAATAATATGAAGCAGCTCAACACCTTTTACGGTGCTTGCTTGAGGTCCATGCATAGTGTTGCCAAATTTATTTCCTCTGCCCTTTCCTTTCAGAGCTATTTGCAGTCCAGGTTACAAGATGCAATGTTTTGTTTTCTCTGTTGAAATCTCTTGTTTTCTTGACAAGCCAGTGCAATGTACGGTGTTTTTTTTTTTTGTTGTTTTGTTTTATTTTAAACTACCCGTTAGCTACACAGAATTTAAAAAAAAAAATTGGCCAATTTCATGCTTGTAGCAAGTGAATCCATAATTTTTTCCAAAGCCCTATATAAAATGCCTTATATCACTGGCCACGCTGATCTAGTTACTATTGGATGTTTTTCAAAATTTTCAGTATTATAGCAATAGCAGACATGTTTACACACTTATAGAGTCTGCTGGTTTTTATAAAATGTTTCTCAATCATAAAAATGCAGTCTGGGCAGAGAGCTGGTATAAAAGCAACAGAGTGCAATAGATGAAATTAAGCTGTTCACATATCTTGACGTTTTATGGTTGATTTTTTGGCATTCCTATAAGTTTAATATGCTGCAGGCTTAGACCAAGAAAAAGATCCATAACATTTTGAATATTTGAGAATAACTGTTAAGTGGTCAGCTGTTTTCATTTCCAACCATTTTTTAGCTCTTCCTCAGTTTGAAGTCTCAGGTTATTTGTTAGCAGGTCAGTTTAATACAGATTCAATACAACTTATGTGAAAGGGATTGGTAAAGAACATCTGTGGCCCATGTCTTACCTAGAGAATAGTGTGGCTGTCTCCACAGAAATTAATGAGGCTTTACAGCAAAGCTTAGATTTCCCACATGATTTAGGATGAGGCCTATGTCAGCTTTGACATGACATACCTGCTCTTACAGCTCGCAAACCATTGCACTTAGCTGAGTCACTGACCTCATTTTAGTGCAACAGGCTGTCACACAGATGATCCACAGCCTTAACAACTGGTCTAAACAAACCACAATGGGTGTAAAGGGAATAAAAATGCATAAAAATGAATTTTGTAATTTTGTTTTCAGTTCATAGAATAACATGAAAAACACATAAGAAAACAAAGTGAGCTCCATAAAATGTATTATGGATTTTTAAAAATTATCAAATCAAATGTATGTTCCTCTGAGGTCTTAACAAATGAGACAAACAGACCAGTTTATATAATACGAAAGCTCAAGAATTACGTAACCATCCTTGTCCAACTGAAAATAGACATCTATTATCTGAGTTGCAATTCTTAGTTCTGTCTGTCTGCAAGTTCCACATAGCTGTGAAGTTCTCTGTTAAAGAGAAAATGTTTTGACATTTGACTTGAAACCAGTTTATCCAGTTATAGGTGATGAATGTATAAAGATATAATTGATTGTATTAGTCTCTGAAGTTTTCCTTTATTGTACAGAATTTCTGGGTTGTTCCAAAAATCTGAAGTTTGGTCAGTAACTGAATCTTATAAAATATAATTACTGTTGTTGTTTTGTCCAAGAAGAAAATAGCAAAGATATTTCAAGTTGAGGAGAGAAAAACAGTTCTTTGGCGTTTTTTCAGATTCCAAGAAGATTGCATAATTCCATAAATATTGATGTATTGTCTCTGCCTGGCAAGGAAGCAAATATACAGTTTGAACTGTTGCCATAGAATTTCATTGACCATTACTT